GTGGTACCATTGATATGATCCAGGAAAAATGTCAAGAACAAAATGCTGATCTCTTCTTAATATATGTCGACCTAACAAAGACATTCGACACTGTTAGCAGAGAAGGACTCTGGAAGATTATGTCAAATTATGGCTGTCCACGAAATATTAACTAACTAAGCCACTGAAACCCCAAAATAAAAAGCACAACTCTTGTGTAATTATATGCAGGCCTTTTTTTTAAATTTTAAACAATTCAATCATAAAGTCAGACAGTGTTGTAGGTGTTGGTCTCTGGGGTCTTTGCAGAGTTAAGATGACATCGCCCTCAGATGTGACATTGTTGGTCCACCACTGATTAGTGAGCTCGTTTTGTTTTGTTAACCTCGTTTTATGTCATATATATTTTCAATACTAAATCTAGACTTTAAACGTAAACAATACTTGTATTCCCTTATAGCAAGATGATAAAAATGATGTCAAGATAGTGAATACGTTACAAGATGATACAGTCGATGAGCCACGTCCGCATTATCTTCCAATGGACGATCAAAGAAAAGACTCGAAAAATCTACTCCTCTCTTCGTCCAGCGCAAACGAGAAAGAAGCTTTACCAGTGGGTGCTATAGTAGGTAGGTCTACAGTGAACAATTAATCCATTGAAGTATAGGTCAGATGTTTGGGGAGTAGTGGAAGAATCGTCTATTGTCGAATCAGAGCAAAGTTGACTATTTCTAAATATATATCTAAAGAAGGAAGCCTATAAAATGGTCTGCCCTGTCAGTTATATCCCTTGCTTTATCTTAACTTTTGTCTGTCTGTCGTTTTGTATGTTTCGGATGTACCATCAGAATTGAAGTTTATTACAGCGGATAGAGTTTGAACTGGAGACCATCGAAAGGACACTCCAGAGCGATTACCACACGATCAGGCAGCCACCAATTCAAAATAAGTTAGTTTGATTCATATTAATATATTTATTCACTTTACTGGTATTTCACATAACCCCGCATTATACTGACTATAAGAATAAATTATAACAATTTTCTTGATAAAAGTCCGGTAGAGTTATAACCAACATATTCGCAGCTCTTTTTGAAGAACATAATGAATAAATAGTTGTTGAATGAATACTTGTTGGCCTTCATCAGTCGTAGAACGAATATGGTTCAGCCTTGTTGAGCACTTTTTTAGACTTCATCTGATTGTAGAACCCTTTTCTAGAGAGACATTCCAGCCCATATACAATGAAGGTAAAGAAGGCATTTGCTTTGGTGAGAGGGTAACCAGATATTTTTTGTTCCTTGTCTTGCTTTTCTTCCAAAGTAATTAAATAATAACCACACAAAACTCACCCCCACCCAACAAAAAAAAAATCACAAGTGGTGCTGAAAATGTGCGTAACAAAAGATAAGATGGCGTCAATTATTTTTAATTAATCCTATAATTAGTTTTTAATAAATGTTTGGAATGGAAATATTTCTAGCGGCCTCCCGAAAGGGTAAAAGCAACTATTAGTTTTGTGTGGTCTGTCTATCCGTTCAGACAGGATGGCTGCCTGGTCGTGTGGCTTGCGCGCTGGACTGTCGTTCGGACTTATCGATGGTCCCGGGTTCAAACCCTGCCCGCTCCCATCTCCCGTCATCCTGCGGGAGGTTTGGACTAGGAAGATAAACTATCTTTAACTCTGACGGAACATCCAAAACATTTTGCAAAACATTTAAACATTTTTTGTACCATCCGTCCGTCCGTCCGTCCCTTCCATCTAGATCTCAATAACTAGAAAAAGATTTTGAAAATCTGATTTTATTTTTTTTTTTAGCTTGCAAAGCTCTGAATCAACGACTACCTTTTTGTTTTCTAAATAACAAACCGTGTAAATTTTAAAAAATGAACTACGCAAGCCATTTGTTTTTTAAAATAAAAATTTTTTTTTGTTACAATTATTCACTATTAAAAGTAAAAACATTTGCATGCATCGCTAGAGCTTCCTATTATAGAAGTTTCTTAAATGTGAATTAAAATGTTTACTTTTGGTTTAAAAGAGAATAAACATATTAGTATGTATATAAGTCAAATATAATTTAAAACAGCATTTAATAATCCATGTATCATGCTATTCAAATGGAATACACTGCTCATTGTAGACATTACATGTAAGACTTTCAACCGATTTCTTCCTTGGTGACACGTTTCTTCTTTGTGTGCACAGACAAGGTTGTGGTGGTTTGCATTCTGCAGCTCACGGCCTCTGATATTATTGCTGAAAATACTGAAACCTGTTGTTTTTTTTACATTCCTAAGTGGACTACTTTGGGGGCCGATTTTGAGTTTGTGTTTCTATACAAACTATCTTATTAACATTTTTTTTCTTTTTTTTGTTGTTTATAACAATTTTATGTTTATAGCATATTGAGTGGGCTAGGGTTCAATCAGTTTTGTGGAACAGTTGAGGAGGGAGGGAGAGGTGTATCCAGGAGAAGGCTTCCGTGCTGCCTTTTCAAAAACTATTTTAAAATAAAAATTTGCTCGTGTCTGAATTCGAACTCCACGATCTATCAAAATCGCACTAAAATGTTGAAAGAGCATTATAATATATCATTTAATTGAAATGTTAGTATTCGTCATGCCCAGTGGAGAGATAGTCTACTATTTCTTTACACGTTGACGCCATTCTCTCTTTTTTTTGTACTTATTTGTTGAAACACGTTCCTAAGTAACTTATCTTTTCGTTTTTTTTAAAATTTTGGTTTTTTAAATGTTTTATGAAAAAAAAAATGCACTTCACAGGTATATGTATTGTGTTCATCGTGTGTGCCGCTGCCTTTATCTGCGCCGTCTACTATATTGTAAAGAGAAGAAGAAGCCGTGATTTTGCTTTTAAAATTCTACCAAAAGAGCCAGACACTTTTAGTATTTCAAAGTACTAGACATCACTGCAATGTAACAATGTAATATTTATATTTTAATTGAACTTGATCCGTTTTTTTTATTGATTTTATTTAAATTGAAAATTGTGATAAACTTTGTACGAACTAAAATAAAGATAAGAACTTTGGAAATCGAAACAACGTCAGGAAAATGTAAGGGTGTGGTAGGAATGCCCTAAAACTTCAAGGAGACTCCTAATCTTCAAATTGCCTTCATAGCATGATGCCCTGAACTTACAGATGTCTCAAGTTTAACATAAAGTACATACTGCAAACTTGTTTGTGATGTCTCACTTATTATTACTGATGTATATTTGTACTCACTAACTTTGCTCTTTTTGTAGTTTTTGTCTATTTTTTGACTTTACCGATGCATTATTGTAATCTGTGATTAGAAAAAAAAGGTTGTGACCCGACGTATATAGTTCTACTATAATGTTTTCCTCAGTTAATGTAGAAGGATAATTAATTAAATATATCAGACCAACATGAGAACCAGCATTTGAATGGAGGATAGAGACGAAGCAATACGCGAGAGTTTTGTTCACAAAAAATAAATAAATAGAAAGTGCATTGACTGAATTATATAACAACCCAAAAGAATGGCCAAATCTCTCTCTCTCTCTCTCTCTTTTTAACTAGCAACATTTTTATTGACTCTATTAAGAGAATTAATATTATACTTTATACTACTATAGGTCTTGATTTCATTATGATGACTTTAGAATGAAAAGTTGTATATTATTTTTGTTCGCCACGGTGGAGTCAGTGGATCTTGATTTTACTATGATGACTTTATGATGAAAAGTTGATTTTTTTTTGTTGTTGTGTAGTCAGTGGAGGATGTTTTTGATTTACGTTTTAGAAGAATTGCAATCTTCATTTTTAACATTATTGTTGTAACTTTTATCATTTTTTATTAAATTATTTTTGCGATGTACACAACACTAGTCTACTTGTGAACGCTGCGGACACTCATTGTATTAAGTAACCGATTTTTCTATGGAGTATCTGAGATCTTACAGCCTGCTTTAAGTCATTAGTTTGTAAGTGACTATAGGGTCTTAGAAATAAATTAGTTTAATGCTTTGACGTGTGGACTAGTCATGAACTTAACTTTGTTTAACTCGTGTTTGTAATTGTGCTCATATTTGTAATCGTACTTGAAATCTTGTTATACTTGTTATAGTGTTAGTATTTTTTAGTATACATGGTATGTAATCGTGTTTGTAATCGCTTAAAACTTGTAACCGTGTTTGTATTCATATTGTTGTTTGTGACCCCTTAAGTTAATTTTTAAATGTTATCCCTTTATTCAATGAAGTCGTGTTTTACTTAAATAGAGGCTTTTGTATAAGGTTTTGTATTTGTTCAGTATATTTCAACTTCATAAAGTAGTCTACTGTTATAAAACTTAATTAAGAAAAGTGAATTTCTGAACAGGAGAAAGAAAGAGAGAGAGAGAGAGAGAAATGATGCACTTAAAGGAATCGTTATTATTAAAAAAGCACATAGCTACTTTTAACATTATGCTGATGACTACATATTTTTTTAGCATTACATTTCTTCATTATTGTGACACACATGTATTGGATATAAGCCTACACATGTCTGTGAATTAGAGAGACAGAGAGCTGGTGGGATACAAAATTTGAGATTCTAGTAAATAAAAGAAATATAAAAAGTAGTATTGAGGAACGTTGTCAGAGACCGTACTGTAAAGTGACTACAGATTCAGATGTCCGATGGTATTTACCACTGAGTCAAAAGGACGAATCTTTTGATCAAGATTTATTTTTGTATCTGAATATGAATTTATAACAAAATGTCAATAAAAAAATGTGTTTCCGTTGACAAACAAATGTCCTCGAGCTTCCTTGTCTACACGTAGCGCCGTCCATGTCTGCGTGAAGAGCGTCCATTGTCTACACGTTGGGCCTCCCTTCTCTCTATGTAGCATCTACCTTGTTTAATTGTAGCGCCTCCTTTGATTGAATGTAGCGCCTCCCTTCTCTCTATGTAGCATTTACCTTGTTTAATTGTAGCGCCTCCTTTGATTGAATGTAGCGCCTCCCTTGTCACAATTAACGCCTCCCTTGTCACAATTAACGCCTCCCTTGTCACAATTAACGCCTCCCTTATTTATCCATAGCACTAAAGTTAAAGAACACTACATAATCTCTGTTTTCTCCTAAGTCCAATTTTCTGCTGACATTTTACAAACTTGGGAGAACCTGCAGAAACGTAGAACGTACTAACAAAGTTTTTGTTGTCCATATAATCAACTGTTTTAGTAGAGTAGCAAATAGACACACTTTTATTTGTTGACATTAGTTTTAGATGATAGACATTTTGTATAACATAAGTAATTTATGAATATTTGATTCTGAATATGCTACTTAAAAGTTTAACGAAATGAATCAATTTTTGAATAAAAAAAATAAAGTAACTTGTGGGGTTGACGACGATTTTATCACACATACGTATTTATGTTCTCCAACGATATTTCTCTGCATCTGCGCATTTATGTTCATTGTTTATACTGTCTATTTGTCTATACTGTCGTATAGTAATTCTTTTTTTATCCAATAAAAACAAATGTCGCTAATGCGATTTCCACATTGTTATTTTACGAACTGAAGATTTATGTTTCATATCACAAGTCACATTAAATGTGTTTTTCGTAATTGTATTTGGTTGTGATTGTGCTGTATTTTTTAAGTTCTGCTAAATAAAAGGAGAAAAGAGTTGTTTTTAGAACTTAGAATGAGAGAATGCAACGGGCAATTGTAAACAAACATTGTGAAAGTATTAGTTTTGTGTGGTCTGTCTGTCCGTGGGTCAGTCCGTCCGTCTCGTAAGGATCTCTTAAACTAGAAAAGATATTGAAAATCCGTCATTATGATATTTTAGACCATTCAAAGTTCCATAGGCTACTATGGAAGCAGATTTTTTCATAAAAAGACTCCATTTTTACAACTATTCACTATTAATAGTAACAAACACGGGAGGCTATTTAGTAAGGGTGAACACTGTTCACAATTTTTTTAAGACATGTATTTCTAATTTATGTAAGTTCTATCATACTAACTACTAGATTTACAAAAGAATGTTTACTTTTATTTTTAAAGAGAAAAAATCTTTTTAGTATGCATATAAGTGGAATATAATCTAGAACAACAATTAATAAGTAGTTTATTATATTATCGCGTGAACTGCATCACTGCCATACATCACTGCCATACACCACTGGAACACTGAACTAAATGAAGGGGAGATGTTTTTTTTTTTTTTTAAGGCTTTGAATAAAAGATTACATAACAATGAGATCAATAAAATAATCCTTAAATGACATTCGTCAGGCCAGGTTCACATCAAACTCCTCCTAGGCGTACCTTACCTCTTCACTTTTATAGCATTATCTAATGATGAAATAAAGTTTAGTTCAAAGGAAAGTAAAAAGTGTACTTCAAACACGGAGTTTTCTTCGTGTGGCCAACAAGATCGTAATTCTTTTCTCGATTTTTGAGATCGGCTGTCCGCCTACCCACCCAGCCTCCAGGTTCCTCCATGAAGGAGTGACTTGAATAGAGGAATTATAAAAAATTTTTTTTTGCGACCTTAATGAGGTCAGCGTAACAGAGGTATTGGAAGCACTATAAAGATAAACTCAGGCGCCATTCCAACCTAGCCGTTAAAGCGGAAAGAAGCAGCAGATGGTCTCTGAAACAGACAAGTGGAGAGCTCTCGTGACGGTGACACACATCTGAGTACCAAAGAAAAGATCCAGTCGACGACTTGAGAAGAAGACAAAAAGAAAACTTATGTAGATCCCATGAAGGAAACGGCTTGGTCTGCATCAGTGTGGCTAAATATGCAGGTCTCTAATGGTATGCTTAGTCATGTGAAATACTGTACTCATCTTTAATCTTCAGAATTAATGAAAATGCCTTTTTATTTTTTTAATAGTGATATTTATTAAATTTATTATAAGGAAAGTACATGTACTCAAGGTATATGAAGACATCTGAAGTCATAGTACTTTGAAAGTAGGTGAATAATTGCTTGTTAACATGTTAAAACTATTAAATGTTAGACTAATTATAGCTAGGTAACTACATTTAAATCTCTCGTCAATGGCACAACGTTTTACAGTAATAATGTTAAAGAGGAATCATTCATTCATTGAAATCTTTGATTGCATCAGTGTGGCTAAATATGCAGGTCTCTAATGGTATGCGTAGTTATGTGAAATACTGCACTCATCTTTAATTTTCAGAATGAATGAAAATGCCTTTTTAATTTTTTATACTGATATTTATTCAGCTGATATTTGATATTTATGCTATCGTATTGAAATTTCCTTTTAAAAAATCTCACATCAACTCAATCTGTCTGTCTGGTAAAACGTTTCTACGTTATTTTTTTTTACACTTAATCTCGGATCAAACTGAAATTTCGCACCATTATTTTTTTTGCCTGACAAAACAAGAATCAATTTTAAAAAATTAATTAGTTTTTGGTAATTAATTATTCTGTTTGATATCAAATAAGTGAAAGAAATCGTACTTGAAAGAAGTGGCGATATAAATTGAATTAGCACCCTTGAGGAGGTTTGAGCCCTGTCTCGTTTTTTTAAAATGCATTAAAAAAGCGATCACGATAGCATTAACGGAGATACCACCTTCCCAGTTGGTTAAGATACGTCATATGCCAATGAAACAATGACACTTAATATAAGCTTTAAAAAAAAAGTATTTTTTATGTTTTTTTCTTGTTTGACTTTGAAATTATCAACTAATTGTAATCCTGATTTCCGAAATTTCAAATTGATAAGCACCTGCGTTTGTGTCAGATCTAGTAGAATGTAAGTGAGACATAGACCAAATAATACCCGAGAAATCATCCAATTACTCCTGGCTTTCTTATATTTCCGTCACACAATTATTTCCCGTTCTACAAAGCTAAATTTCTAGACATGGAAAGCTTAATGTCCAATTGGGAAAATTAATGTGAGTAATGTTCATGGAACAAGGGCGACCTCGTACAGCTACAAGTGATGAGTCTACAACTGCCGTCTTGGAACTGTTTCAGCGTTCACCTCAAAAATCGTCAAGGCAAGCGGCACGTGAGAGTGATGTAAGTGCTAGTAGTGTGCTACGCATTCTGAGGAAAGGCAAGTTTCGTGTGAACATTCCAAGGCTGGTGCAACAGCTAAGTGACGACGATCCAGATAGAAGGTTAGAATTTTGTGAATAGGTTTAGGAGAGGGTGAGGCGTGAACCGGGATTTATGAGTGGCCTAATTTGGTTGAATGAAGCCCAATTCAAACTCAATGGAACTGTCAATAGGCACAATTGTATGTACTGGGCTGAAGATAATCCTCGCATTTCAGTTGAAAAGGCTGTGAAATTGCCTGATGTAAATGTGTGGTGTGGTTTGTCTGCAAGGAGACTCATTGAGCCTTTCCGCTTTAAAGGTACTGTTACGGGAGAAACGTACTTAACAATGCTTGCTGACTCCATATTCCCTGCCATTCGTACATTATTCGGTAATGATGAGTTTTATTTCCAACAAGATGGCGCCCCGCAGCACTATCATAGGGATGTACGAGCATACCTAAATCACAATGTGCCAGGCAAGTGGATAGGACGTAGGGGACCAATCGAGTTTCCTGCACGCAATCCAGACCTCACGCCGCTGGATTTCTTCTTATGGGGCATAGTTAAAGATGATGTGAACAAACGTAAAACCCGTAACCTGGACACACTGTTGAATGAGATTCAGGCGGTGGGCGCAGAAATCTCAGTGGACACTTTGGTACGATGTACGGACTACGGAATCAGTGTTGACTCATACTCAGCAATGTATTGATGCTGAAGGCCACCAGTTTGAACATTACTCACCATAATCACTTTTATTTTTCCAATTAGACATTAAGCTTTCCATGTCCAGAAATTTAGCATTGTAGAACGGGAAATAATTTGTCTATGACAGTTTAAAGTGTGTATACATTTTTTAACGCACCTAGTATATGAGAGATATAATGCATTTAAGCAGCCAATAGTAGGCCAACAGTACTTAAGTAATAATCTATCTATAAATATAATTCTCTTCTTCCCTCAACAGTTTGGACGAGAAGCAAGAAGTAAGAAGTAAAGGAAAGATCACAGCGGATAGAGTTATCCCACGAACTTTACGAGTTTTGCGTGTAGCGAAGTCATAGAGTACATCATAAAAATTATATTTCCTACATAGATCACGCTCAATAGCAAGACTCTATCTACGAGAATTGTTGAACTAAAGTAATTCTTCACTAGTTTGAGGCGCGAGAATCTTCTTTCACCAGATTCCAAAATTACGGGATAATGACATTTTTTTTATCGCACGTAGGAGTGGCATTTTCCATATTGAATGACACCCCAAAATAACAATTTTTTTCAATAAATTTCAGGAGATTCGTATGAGTTTTCTAGAAATTTTAATAATTTCCGGATATTTCCTGGACTTTTTCGTATATTTTGCAATTTCCGGATATTTCCAGGAGCTCCTGGCAAATTGACAGGAGGCCGCGGGAAATCTGTTAAAAGTTATACAATGGTTTAATTTAATAATTTATACACCTAGAATTAGCGCGGGTCCTATGAAAGTGCGGGGCCCACTGCGGTCGCATAAGTGCGGAGCCCACTAAGGTCACCGAAGGCCAGTCCAGCAAAATAGCGGCGTAGCCGTCGACTAGTGTTTTTTAACAAAAATAAGGCGTTAAAGGCGGACATACTGAATTGTTATTGTCACAGCTTTAGAGACGGATTAGCCCGTGCATTCTACCCTTACCGCTCAAGGCCCCGCACATGACGGTCTCCCAGGGCCCCCGCAGTGCTAAGGCCGCCCCTGGCGCTGGTTGTGTGTGTGTAGGCATCTCCATCATTTGTTATGATGCTGCCAAGGTAAGTGAACTTGTCTAGCTCTTCAAGCTTTGACTCGCCAAGTCTGACGGGGGCAACCTTTGCCTTATATCCCACTCGTTAAATTTTAGTCTTATCTAGGTTAACGCGGAGGCCGATTTTGGGTGTCTCTCTATCTAGGCTCTCCGTCATTTCTTGAATGCATTTATTTGTAGCCCGGGTAGTGCAACGTCATTAGCAAAGTCCAAGTCCGTCATTCGGATTTGTTCCCGCCATGGAATAGCAATGGCAGTCTGATTCATTGTTCTCCTCATTATGTAGTCGATGGCTAGGAGGAAAAGGAAGGGAGATAAGATGCACCCCTGTCTCACACCTGTCTCGATGCTAAAAAACTCAGTTGTTCCTTCAATCTATTTTAATGCAGCAACTAGACTGACTGTATATGTGTCGTAGGATCTGGACGAATTTTTCTGGGATGCCGTATTCTCCATTTTCCATAGTGATTGTCGGTGGACATTATCAAACGCTTTCTTGAAGTCTACGAAACTGATCCTTAGCCGTTGTTGGTACTGAAGGCTTGGCTCTATGATATTTCGTAGAAAGAAGATCTGCTCTGCACATGATCTGCCTCTTCGGAAGTCTGCTTGTTCTTCACTGAGTCTCTCATCTACAGATTGTTGAAGCCGTCTCAACAAAACACAGTGCTGAAAACTTTGCCAGGGACAGAGATAAGAGTAATGCCCCAACAGTTGTTGCGGTCTGCCAAGTTGCCCTTTTTTGGAAGCTTTACAATCACTCCCTTTTGCCAGTCCTCTGGGACTTTTGAAGTTCGCCAACAGAGATT